GTAAAATATGATGAAAATAATAGAAGATAAGAACAATTATCGAAGAAGCTTTATTAAGGAAGTGAAAAAGCTTAAATACATTAACAATATCCTCCTATTTATATAGATTAGGAGGAAGAATTAAGAGTAACTTTTGAGCTCTTTCGTTTTACTAGTTTGGCTCATACGTCTTTGATTAGGGTTAAGAGTTTATTTCGATCATTTATGGTATTTTCAAATATTTTTTAATATTTTATCATAGTGATCAAAATATTATAATAGATAAAAAATATTGTAAGAGATAAAATAATATAATAAATAAGAAAAATTATAAGAAAAAATAGCTTTTTTCAAATCAGGAATTATATTTAAAAAAAAAATAAAATAGAAGATATCAGTTGAAAAATATCTAAAATATAAATATTTTATAAAAAATCATCTTTTTATTTATATAGTAATTAAATAAATCATAAACCATCTTTTCGAATACCAATTAAGATGCCGAGCCTAATGTGTTGGAACTACTACGCCGCGTGAACGGTCTCGATTAAACAGTGACGCCACCGCGGCCCCATTAAATGGTCACCTCGCTGCTGCTGAACCACCGCGAGTGATGCCATCCCGCTGCTTTAAATGCTCACTAACCCGTGTCGACTCGATCCAATAATATAAACGCTGAAGGAGGAGGGACGAAGAAGCGACGCGGGCAGATGGAGTCGTACAAGGGCGGCTTGAAGGGGTACTGGAAGCGGCGGGGGTACCACCACGCCGACGGCGGGCAGGGCCGTCGGCGCCTTTGCAAGGCGGAGCTCGGCGGGGGAGGTCGGCGGCGGCGCCGGTTCTGGCGGATCAAGATCTCGCCGCGCCTCGGCTTCCTCCGCGCGGCCTCTCCCCGGCGGATCCTCGCCCGGATCCGCGACGCCTACGTGCGGATGATGCTCGGCTTTGCCAACTGTGTCGCCTACGGTGGCTACGGCTACGGCGGGGTCGAGGTGACGGGTCTCGCCCGGCCGGCGCTCAAGGAGTACGACGAGAAGGTGCTGGTGGAGATCTACAAGTCGCTCGTGGTCCGGGGGCCGGTCGTGGCTGCCGATGGCGCCGTCGCGCTCCGGCGATAGGTGCGCCCTCCCCTTCTTCTTCGTCGGCGTTGGTTTCATTTCTCGTGCCCTAGTAGTAACTAATGGTGTTGAGCTATTTCGTGTTCTAATTTTACTGTCCAACAAGAAATTGTAATATAAATAAAAGAATATTCATAATTTTCTGGAAACCCCTCTCACGTCCTGACAACGTACGACCGTGATTTGTTTTGATGTTCTTTGCATTCAAATCAACGGTGCCTGTGAGGGGTGCCTATATATGTACGACCCTTTCACCGTCGCGGGGCGTGACAACAGCAGCCCTCGTTGATGTGCCTCTGTGGAAGAAGACCTCACCCTCGACGAGGAAAGAGAGCAACGGAGGCGACCGCGGCTCCTTTCGCGATAGGTCCGACGGAAAAGAGAGTAGGGAAGGCGGTGGTAGACGCGGTATGACAGAGAGGGGGCTCAGTGGCTATCGTTGGTAGCTGAGGACTGCTTAAAATCACGGCTATTTACTTGATTCTTTAAGGATAGGGGACCGGATTTGATATTGACGAATTGGAGTTTCCGGCGTTGATGATTACGTTACGGTGAGTGGACGGGAAATGCGTTAGGAAGGCGACAGGTGAGACGGTGGAATCTTTTTATGAGTTGGCTTTTCTTCTCTGTGGAGAACACCGCACACCGCACACCGCACACCGAATACTGAGCTCTGTCGTCGAGCTCTTTATTATTAGTGAGCTCGTCGTCAAGTCTTGAAGGCGTGCATGCGATTCATGCCAACCGGATTTCAATTTTTTATAGTCGAATTTTTTATGAATAAAATTGTACGTCAGATTCAGATTCATAATTGATATGAGTGTCCGTATGTGAGGTAGGGTTGTCAATGAGTCAAAGTTTTCACTTAACAAGGTTTATTTACTCTTTATGTCTGTTCGGGATGGATTTAAATATAAAAATTTTAGTTTGGATTTTCGGTTTGAGTTCTTAGTTTACTATTTTAGTTTGGTTTAAGTATAAATAATTAAGTGACCTCACACCTTATCATACAAACTCTTATTTATTGTCATCGGATTAGTATGACATACAACTATGTTAATTATAATATTTGATGGTTCAATCAATTGTTCTTCACACTCAAGATAATTTTAATTTGTCATAAAAAACTATCATAATGAAAGTTCTTAGATATGTCAATTGGGAGTTCTTTATATTCAAATAACTTATTTTAATTTATTATAAAAAATTATCATCGTAAAAGTGTTTAGATATGTCACTTGGGAGCTCATACGATTATTTTCAACCTTTCGAACCCTCTTGTTAATTTTACGGTAAGTTATTTATCAAATACACCCTGGCGTAATTTTACAAAGAACTTAGTTACTTCGTAATGTTGACGCTTGTGACGAGTTAAGCTAGGTTGGCTCCAAATTCTCTACACATCGACAAACGAAACTTATCATAGTAATATTAAAATTTATAATGATAAATATATTAGGATCAAGTCGGCACTAAGAGGGAGATGAATTAGTGCTTTCGATAAAAATTACGTTGATTCAAAGATTCATTCGATAAATTTTATATCCAAAAAAATGTTTAAAAGTTCGTAAGTGATTGAAGACAGTGAGCAAGTAAATCAGTGAGTGATGAGAATAAAAAGTATGAAATAAATGGCACAGAAAGAAAGCACACCAGATTTATAGTAGTTCGATCGTCATGACCTACATCCACTTTCGATTCCTCCATTAAGGCCATCAACATCCACTAACGGTCTTTCTTCAATGAGCGAAGACCAATCACCCTTTTACCACTCTTTCTTCTTTTTACAAGTTTAGGAAAAAACCTTTTACAAACCTTACACCACTCTTAGATTGATCACAAAGCTAAAGGAGGAGGAGGTGGTGGATACTTAACACTTTTTCAATACTTTTACAATCAAAATCTCAAACTTCTGTTCACACTTTTCATGCTCTTTTATACAGAAAAGAGTGCAGTATTTATAGGCCCTAATAGTTTTAAAAATGGAGCACATCCTAGATTTTCGGAGTACTGGCGATGACGGTACCATTGCTTGCAAATTGACACTGGGTGATACCACCGCCCAGTTTGCATGATATGACTGCCTAACAAAGCCTATGGCGGTGCCATCGCCTGACAGTATTAACCGCCGATGATACCACTGCCCAGTCTTGGTGGTACCATCACCCAGACAACTTGGGAGGCTAAGCCTCAGGCGGCACCACCGCTTGACGTGGCTCCAAATAGCTGAATGAGACATCTAACCGGCCCAATTCAACCCTATTAAAGGCTCAGTTGGCCCTAATTGAGTTAGTAGGATTTTTCCTAAAACTAACTCAAATTAAAATCCTAACTACGATAGTTAAGACTACAACAATTATGATACACGTAATTTAAGTTGTTTGGCACGTCAATTGTTCAATCGAACTCTCGGTGAACTTCCGACGAACTTTTATTGCATCGTCCGATCCTTTGGTATATCATCGATTCATCTGGCCCGATGCTCGATTATTGACTTCAACCCAACTTCAATTCTTCTTTCTCACGATTGTAGTTAGTCCTTCATCACTTATCTTAACACATGGATTACACCATTAATTCACCAATTAATTTATCATCAAAATATGAGATTTAACAAAAATATACTAATTCTAAACTTTAAAAAGGATAAAATAAGGTGATATTTAAATTAAAAAAAAACGTTGAGCAAAATAGGAGACAGTTCTCTACTGCTTAAATCTCTGTTTCATCCCTTGCTGTCAATGTTGGTACCAGTTTCACTTATATATTATGCAAGAGAGTCCAGTTGGATAAGCTATCTTCTCAAAAGAGTTGGCCAACTTGGATGGTCATTGGATAGGCATCAACGGTTCCTTCATGTATTCAACTTGGATTTGAATAACCATTAATGAATCATTTACCTCATAAATGTATAAGAAAAGGGCTTTCACATATCTATCCTTTTCAAGTTTGTAAATAGCATATTTGTCTTTGATACATGTAAAGTTTGGTTCATCTTTCAAGCATGTATATATTGCATTTTTGTAATCCAAAAAAATTGTCTCTTCCTCCTACACAGTCAAAATTTATTCTGTAGTTAGCTAATCAACTATGAGTGTGGAGGAAAAGAAAGAAGATAAAAGCTGCAATTGAGATGCTCTTTCACTTATTTATATATTGTTGTTCATAGCTTCGATTACACATATTTAATAGTCCACCGACTGCCGGTCTTGCAGCTATTTTTGTCTCGTGCAATTGCGTAGCACTATTAATGATTCTTTCATGTGGGGTTATGTTGTCACCTCATTATCAATCAAGCATTGCTAGTTCAACTTGCTGTCTTCGTTCGTCTTCCAAATTAGGGGTAGATTCATTGTGCAACATACCTCATACTAACAACTGGGCTCCATAGATTACCATATCCTTCTCTCGTTCATTCATTCATTCATTCATCTGTCCCCTCACACATTGTGTTTCTCCTCCTCATCTTACTCCTTAACCTTCTTCATCAATCAATCTATTAGCCTTGTAATCCTTATTTACAGTATTTATACTTTTCTATAATTACTACTTCCATAACCAAAATAAAATCTATGGACAAAGATCTGCATATCAAATAACAATTAAATAATATAAAATTTATTTTTATTTTATTTTATTTTAAAAATCAATTTAAAATTGAATCGAATCGTCAACACAGCGGCTGATGAACACGCGTGCAATTGATTGAATCGGGAACGAAGCACGTTGTGGTCGATGTCAAATCTGCCTTGCATTAGCTGTGCATATCCAACACTTGGACCAAACCATATGTGGCAGTTTAGATAATAAACGCCAAGTATCGGGGCGTTTCGTGTGACTCCCAGGAAAATATCTCCCGGCCTCGAAACTCTCGAACCTTCACCCCCTTCCTCTTTATGCTGCCCCCGCAACCTTAGCCTCACATTGCCCTTTAAAGAAATCCAAACCCCGCCTCAGATATTTTCGCGCACCCCGCCCCCGATCTCCCTCCTGTAAGCCACATTAATGCTATAGTGGTGATCGATCTCCGTCCATGGACGCTTCCGGGCCCGGATCCGACGGCTCCTGCTACTACTCCCTCCTCGGGATCCGCCGCAACGCCTCCGCCTCGGACATCCGCTCCGCCTACCGCTGCCTTGCCCTGGTACGTCGCCCCCATCATCTCTTCCCTCATGTCTTCTTCCTTTTGTCGTTGGGGTTTCTTCTGATCACTGGGGTTTCCGAGGGGTTGGGCAGAAGTGGCACCCGGATCGGTGGGCCAAGGAGCCGGCGGCGGCGTCGGGGGAGGCGAAGCGGCGGTTCCAGCGGATCCAGGAAGCCTACTCCGGTAAGTGACGGTTCTTGTTTGTTCTCCCGTCAAGCTAATTACGCAGTGATTAACGGAGGCTGCGGTCTGATGTTCCCGCAGTGCTCTCGGATAAGGGCAAGCGCGCCATGTACGACGCCGGCTTCTACGACCCCCTCGACGACGACGGCGACCAGGTTTCCTCTTTCTTTTTCCTTTTTACTGAAAAGAAATCATCACGAGTTTTGAAAAATAATATTGGTTTTTTGGACGGCCAGGATTTTTCTGATTTCATGCAAGAGATGCTGGCGATGATGGACGGGGTGAAATCGGAGGTAATCTCGTTCCCCTCGGTTAATCTGCGTGGATCTTAAAGAGTTTTCTGTACGTGGCACTGAATCAACCGTTGGTTCCAACCCGCGTTACGGGCGAAGAGTTGATTCAAATGACGAGAATTCCCTTGTATTTTCAATTTCTTTCACATTTTAATTGGAATATAATAATAATAAAATACGATAACTGGCAGAAGCCGGACACGTTGGAGGACCTGCAGCGTATGCTGGCGGAGATCGTGGACGGCGATTCGGGGAGCAGCGGCAGCGGGGGCCACGCGAACGGCCGTCGGGTGCCGTCCGATTCATCTAGGAGGAGCCGCAGCGGCCCGATACGCAGGTGAAGTTTCTGATCTCTGACCCGGTACTTGATTGGAAGAAAAAAGATGCAATAAAGGTGGTAATTTGTTCTACGGAGTCGAGTCAGTCGCCATGGTCATATTTTTTGTGTTGTCCTTATCGTCTGAAGGACTGTAGTTGGTAGACGATGACCGCCAATTGCACGCACGCTTCTTCCTTGTGCGTAGCTGCTTTAGAGGTTCCACACCATGAGGTGGTCCAGATCTGCAACTGGCATAGGAATCGGTGGCTGTGGAATCGGGGAATCGTTTGATGTGGGGAGCAGATCTGAAGATATTTATTCTTATTCGCATGGGTCATTTTAACGAATGTCATCTTGACAGACACAATAGTTTTATTTGATTCTTCGCTCTTCGTTGTGGTGATCGAAGAATCTAAATAACTCTTTTGGGGTGAGAAAGTGAGTTTAACATCGTTTCACGTGGATCCTATGAGATGACCCATTAAATAATCTTTGAGAAGTTGACCCGAACCGATCATTGGCATGTTGTGTTTATTGTCATCGGATCATTGGTTGAACCAATGAATCAATCGATAGAATTGCATGTTTTAATTAAAATTATTGTCAAATAATTAATTATAGCAATGTACTATAAACGTGCTTAATATGATAAAATGTAAATAGTACGAAATAATTGGAAAGCGTTAAGCAACAAATGCCAAAGTGAATACGAACGAAATTAAAATATAAAAGATTGTTATGCCTTACAATATAATAAAAATCAACTATACTATCAAATATCAACTAATTAAGATGAAAGGAACAATATTTTTATATTATCTATCATGTTAATTGAGATAGTTTTATTGAAATAATTTTTATAGTATTGCAAACGAACTCTCAAATTGGATGCGGTAAGATCACTAACAAAACTCAAAAGACTCGAAGAGGTGAGGAGATCATCCATCTTATGCCACAAGAAGATGACTAACAAAAGCCAACTTGAAGAGGGTGAAGAAATGTAATATCTTACACATAAATGGGGTTTGGAGTCTATTTCCAATATGTGAAAATTCCATGACGACAACAAACATGGTTTACCGATTGAGAACTCGGTTTTGCCTTTCTCATCGTCTAGTTATTGTATTCTTCGGCCATACAAAGAATGGCGGAAAGAAAGAAGCCAAGGAAGATGTGATCCCTTCCCAGTATATCTATTCATGACTAACTAACAAAGGATGTCGGTTCGGGTTAAGGGTATATCAATTATTCGGTCGAAGGTACATATTCGGACCGGCCTTCTTCGTCTCGGTCGGTTCTTTCGAGCCGGGCTGATTTGTCCAAAACCATTATTCTGGATGCACGGCTTGACATGTGATTTGGTTTATGCGGTCAATAACCGACTTGATCTTGATAGCTATAATAAAGCTAATTATATTGCTTGTAATGTAGAGATGAATAACTTGTAATAAGACGACTTTGACATATCGATTCTTAGACTTCAAAATTTTATACTGAAATTTTTTTTTATATTTATGAAAGTAAAATATTTAAATTTATTTAACATAATGTCATCAGTTTTATCGACGAAAGATAGAGCACATGCAGGAATAACACAAAAATAATAAACAAAAAAATAATTTTAACATTCTCGGTTAAGGCATTTGCGTTAGTGTCGTTCTGCAATTCATCGCTTTACAATTACGTCGACAAAGGGAGAGGATGGAAGAGATGACATAGTTAAGCTTGTTGTCAAGGATGTGGGTGATGGCCGTCACGGTCGGGTTGCTCATCGTCAACTCGTCGCCCACGTTGACACAAGTCATAGAGCAATCCATTGATCGTATTTCGTCGATTCGAATCGGCCTAACCACATTGGTTTCACCCACATGGCCCTATATACCTCCTACGATTGAAAGTCGAAGCTCTCACTCTCTAAGGCATTGGCATTTAAGAAGACAAGCGGGGCAAGGCTTTGTAGGTTGTAGCACGGGATCAATATTATCTTCACTATATTATGTAGCTAGCGCCAGTCAATCCCTAAAAGCCTCCTCATGACCCACCTTGGAATACTCCATACAAGAACCCATGAGACGATGTGGGGGAGGATAAAGAAGAAGTAGACGCCTTTCAAAAGAGGTGCTTTGTCGTGATCGATGAGGATGCCATTGCGTGGAACCCAAGTGTCGTTAGCGTGGAAGAGTGAGCGAGCGCCATTGCGAGTAGCAAAAAGCATGACAACAAATGTTGCCTCGATGCCATCAATAACATTGAAGTAGTTGGAGACTATGGCATCGAGGTTGTGGAACTTGTACCTAAGGGGCTACTTAAGGTGCGCGAGGGCCATTCCCAAGAGTTTCCCTCACATCACACCGCCACCACCATCATCGATGTAGAGCATGCAGACCTTGCCCCTTTGGATCCTGACACGAGGGGGTGCCACAGATGTTGCCTCCCTTTGCCTCATCTCCCAACATCGCTCTCCGTCCTCTTCCTCATCCAATGCCACTCTCCATCTGCGTCACTCTACATCTATGTCGACGGGCATTAACAAGAGGTGAGGCATTTGCGTCGGCACAGCACCATCGTACATTTGTTGATATGACACAAGACCTTTACCTTATCTCCCATTGATATAGTTGCATAGCAACTTTGACATAGATGTCAAACATTAAAATTATCTTTTTTTACCAATCATTATTATGTCTGTACATGCTATCACATACTGTCACATGTTGTATCTTCTATCGATAAAATTAATGACATTAGCTTAAATTAGGTTAAATATTTTATTTTTATAACTATATATTTTTTAATATAAAATTTGTAAGTCTAATGATCAAAATGATCTAACTAAGAGAAGTAATATGTAATTACCTCTCTCAGTTGTCATCAATCACAGTGATAAGCTTTACTAGATGACAAAATCCTTTACTATCTTTTCCTATAAAATTACTTTTATCTTAACTTTTAATTATAAAACTTATAAAAAAAACTGACATGGTTAATTAACCTTTAATCAATTTTGGACCTTCGGATTAGATATTATTTTGCAGAAGAAATAGTTCATAACATGAGAATACGCACAGTAAAATAAATCATTTCGTAAGATAATCCAAACTTAAAAGAATTATTTTACATGCTTCCTAGTGATCATAAAGAATTATTTTTTCGGTAAATTTTTGAAAAAAGCTTGTTTTTTCTATTTTTCCAATATGTCTTTTATTTTTAAATCTTTTGACGATGCTCCTTTTTTTATCTAATACCCTATTTATCCTCTATTTTTCTATGGACTATCTATTTTTCCTCTATTTTTCTAAAGACTATCTATAAGATGAGCTGATATAGTTACAATGTTTTTAATACTGTGTTATAGTGTTTTCAACAATATAAAAAATATTATAATGTAATAAGTATTCTATCCATTGGAAAGGGAAAAAAAACAAATATAGGTGGATGACTATCAAATCAAGGATATTTCAGTTATTAGAAAAAAGAAAATATTAGAGAATTCTAGAAATAAGAAATACTATTTGAAAAATATAAAAAAGATGGTTTTTTTTTAGGAGAACGCACAATTCTCTTAGAATAAAACCCTAACATCCTCTCTCATCCATACTAATTTTTTTTTAAATACATACGGTATTTATATACCATACGTTCCTCGATGTTTAAATATTTCCTTTTTTCCGAGCAAAATAATTTTTCAGATATAAAACCCATGCTAACTTTTTCACCAAATTTTCATGCAATCAAATTAACTATCAATCAAGAATTTAACGAACACATGCCAATCAAAGTAGAAGTCAAGCTGTAGTATAAAACAAATATCGCTCTCCCACATATTTATGATATCTTCTCTAATTTGATAGGTCATGTCACACTCAAGAACCAATAAAGAATGAATTTACTGTTAGGTTTTGTTATTGCTTTAATGCCAGAGTTGGTACGATTTGATTCTATTTCGGAGACGCAACTGATCCTAAAGACGGACGTGATAGTCTTGAGAGGTGGTTGGAGTGGGGGAAAGTCTGACTAATGCCTTCCCGAGATGCTACTTGTTTATTCGAGATAGACTCTTCAGTACGCCGAGGTGGTTTGAACTTTCTTGGGGTTCTGGAGATGAATCGATGTGAGCATTGGCTTCCCTAGGATTCCTACACAAGTGGTCGTGTTGAGGAAATTTCCGATCCGACCCTTTCAATGGTGAAGTTAGCAATGAGGATGGATTAGTGAAAAAAAAAATTCATCCCTTTTTAAATTTTTAGGGGTTACCTTTTATATATGGATGGTCGATGACGGGAGGTTGATGACTCCTCCCCTTAATCTATGGTCCTTCAAGGGCTCATTTATATCAATGGTCGATTGATAAGAAAAATGATGTCAGGGATTAATACAATCGGAAAAGGAGGAGATGGGTTTAGTAGTAGAGATTAATGCTGTCGAAAAAGGGTGAAATAGGTCCCATCGTCAAGAATTAATGTTTCTGAAAAAGAAAGAGATGGATTCCATCGTCAGATATTGATGCTCCATACGATCAGGTGTGTAATCTTTCCCAAAATCGTGATTGTCGGGGGGTGAAAAGTTGAGCAGGGGGAGTTGTGTGGGCTCTTTTGCCATTGATACTGTCTAGGTGGAAGCGGATCGTTGGGCGTCACTTTATTTTGTATCAGATTTCTTTCTCGATTTCCTGTTCGTTCTTGCCACCGAACACAAGATAACAATGTAGTATCAATTTCCTCATCTGTGAATCATTTGTCAATCCCCATCCTCTTTCGGTTGCACTTAGTCATCACCATCTATAATTTCTACTATGGTGGCTGGTATCATATCTAAGAACACCCACCGATAAGAATATTAATAATGTATTTATATTCACTCCCCTTTCCTCTAGAAATAGTAACGTAATTACTTCGGTCAAAACATAGCACCGCAACATCGCTGTACTACTTTGACACGCAAAACTCCCATCACCCACCTACCATGTCGATCACCCTATAAGTACTGACATAGAGATCGTCGCCTTCCACACCGCTCCTCACCCCAATAGGCTTCATTAGCTAGCTCAGCCTTTTCCATCCTCCAAACCCCATGGCTTCCGGTTCTTGGACGCTCGAGATCGAGTTCTCCGTCCAGGCATCTCGCATCTTCAAGGCCGCCGTCCTCGACTGGCACTCCTTGGCTCCCAAGGTCGTGCCGGAGTTCGTCGTCAGCGGCGTCGTCCTCGAAGGTGAAGGCGGTGCCGGATCCGTAAGGCAGCTCAACTTCTCACCGGGTAAGTACTGCTACAAGCACGGTATATATTGGTCTGCGTCGCAGACGGCATATGTCAACGACGCTATTCTCTCTGCAGCAATACCATTTGGGTACGTGAAGGAAAGATTGGACTTTGTGGACGTGGACAAGTTGGAGTGCAAGCAGACGCTCGTGGAAGGAGGCCACATCGGGAGCAAGCTGGAGACGGCGTCGACCCATTTCA